AATAAAGGCATTGTGTTGTGTCCATCTACCAAAAAAAAAAAAAAGATTCTCTCTCCCTCCCTCCCTCCCCCCCTCCCCTCTCTCTTTAAAAAAAAAATGGCATGGGTATTGGTACCATAATAGACATGTACACCACTGATACAAAATAGAAGATGCAGAGACAAATCCATATAAATACGGTTATCTTATACTAGACAAAGGCGCCAGAAACATACATTGGAGAAAAGATAACCTATTTAACAAATGGTACTAGGAAAACTGGAAATTCGGGGGCTGGGGATGTGGCTCAAGCGGTAGTGTGCTCGCCTGGCATGCGTGCGGCCGGGGTTCAAGCCTCAGCACCACATACAAACAAAGATGTTGTCTGCCGAAAACTAAAAAAAAAAATAAATATTAAAATTCTCAAAAAAAAAAAAGAAAACTGGAAATTCATATGTTGCAAAATGAAATTAAACCTCTATGTCTCACCCTGCCCAAAAATCAACTCAAAGTAGGTCAAAGACTTAGGCACTGGAACAAAGACCCTGCACCTAACAGAATAAAATGTAGGTCCAAATCTTCATCATGTTGGCTTAGGACCTGACTTTCTTAACAAGACTCCTAAAGTTCAAGAAGTAAAATAAAGAATAAATAAATGGGATGGACTCAAACTAAAAAGCTTCTTCTCAGCAAAGAAAACAATCAGTAATGTGATGAGAGCCTACAGAATGGGAAAAAATCTTTACCACATGCACCTCAGATAGAGCACTAATCTCCAGCATATATAAAGAACTCAAAAAACTTAAGATACAAAAAACAAATAATCCAATCAATAAATGGGCTAAGGAACTAAACAAACACTTCACAGAAGAAGAAATATAATTGATCCACAAATATATGAAAAATGTTCATCATTTCTATCAATTAGAGAAATACAAATAAAAACTACTCTAAGAGTTCATCTCACTCCAGTTGGAATGGCAATTATCAAGAATACAAGCAATAATAAGTGTTGGTGAGGCTGTGGGGGGAAAGGTACACTCATACATTGTGTTGGGACTGCAAATTGGTGCAGCCAATATGGAAAGCAGTTTGGAGATACCTCAGAAAACTTGGAATGGAACCACCATTTTAACCTAGCTATCCCACCCCTCAGTTTATACCCAAGGAACTTAAAAACAGCATACTACAGGGACACAGCCACATCAGTGTTTATAGTAGCTCAATTCACAATAGCTAACCTTTGAAACCAACCTAGATTCCCTTCAACAGATGGAAGGATATAGAAATTATGGTCCATATAAACAATGGAATATTACTCAGCCTTAAAGAAGAATGAAATCATGGCATTTGTAGGTAAATGGATGGAACTAGAGAATATTGTGCTAAGTGAAATAAACCAATCCCCCCAAAAACAAATGATTAATGTTTTCTCTGATAAGTGGATGCTGATCCATAGTGGGACAGGGTGGAGAAGGGAGGGAGGAATGAAGGAACTTTGTATTTTGGAGAGGGGAATGAGGGGAGGGGTCGGGCGGTGGGGATGGGAAGGATAGTGGAGTGAGAAGGCCATTTTTACCCTATCTATGTATGTATGGTTGCACTACCATACATTTTTACCCTATCTATGTATGTATGGTGTGACTCTGCACTGTGTACAGCCAGAGGAATGGGAAGTTATGCTCCATCTGTGTACAATGTGTTGAGATGCATTCTGCTGCCATATGTGACTGATTGGAACAAATTTTAAAAATCGGGAAAAAAAATGAAAGGAGGGGCTTTGCCTGCTGTGTTCACTGCTATAACCACAACATCTAGAACAATCCTTGACATAGAACAGATGTCCATTAAGCATGTGAATGAATGAAAATACACGTTAGCTGAACGCTACATTCATACTCTGGTTATTGGTTACTACTTTTCCTCAGTATTCTTATAAAAAGATAACTCTCCTCTGAATGACCAGGGAAATTTGTGCAGAAGAGGAGCATAATATTGGGGCCAGACAGGAGGGTCAACAGAAGGGCTGGCATCTTGGGGATCCCAGATTAATGACTATCAGAGATTTATTGTTAACTGGCTGTGGCACTCTCATATGTCCATTTTTAAAATTTTGCTTCATGGGTCTATAGTAATTCAATAGAGTCATGATAATATAGATAGTGGAATTAATTTTTTAGGCTTGTATATAAATCATGTAGTAATTCTAAACTATTTTAGAGAAAAATTAACAGATAATACAAGGCTATATTTTTTTTTTACAAAAATTAGTCAGTTATACCTATCTGTATAGCTCTAAGACTATTATTCATATGTTGAAAAGAATATAATTTTAATTAACGTGTACTAAGAATTTAACAATTGCTCTCATTATATTGAAAAAGAAGCCACATAGTAATTACAGGTAGGAATGCAGACACATTATGACCTGCTTTTGCAGCTCTTCTAGGAATGGTGTACCAACCCCTCCCCCCCCCCAAAAAAAAGGGAAATACAGAGAGTCAAAGCCTCTGTGTCTCAAAACTATGACTTTCTCACTCTCCACAAAATTACTTTGAAGTTTTGGGACCCCATTCTCCATTCTACCCCTGAAACTGTAGGACTCGGGAGAGCTTGCTCAGTTTCCCTTTTACAAAGATGTAGATTGCCATCCTGCAGTTAGGCATTTCTCTCAGATTTGAGAGAGCTCATTCCCTAAACCCTGACAATTGGGCCTGAAAAATTTAGATCTGGTTCATCCTCATCTAGGTTTAAACTCATCTTTAGATCCTGTACAGGTGAATAGTCTAAGAAGGCAAAGAAAAGCCTCTCCACCGTTGGGGTTTGGGATGGTACAGAGACCTCCGAGTTAGAAAGGATGCACCTGGAGGATATTATCCGCTATACTCATCACCAGTGTTCAGTCCATACGTACCCCACGCCCCACAGGGAGCACACTACCTCCCTAACCTCTGATTCCTAGTGCCATCACCTGAAGACATCATGGGAAACTGTCCCTTTGCTCTACAAAAGTCTCTTTCAACACTGGGTGAGGTTTTAAAGAGGTCATAGAGCATGATTTTATATTGCACACAGTTTTATGGTATATAAAATGCCATGATAGTATTATTATATATTGTTTAAACTTTTGGAGGTGGGATAGAATGCTACACACAAAAAATGAATTTAGACAGAGCTGTCCAGGAGAACTTTTGCAGTGATTGAAATGATCTACATCTGTGCCTAGATGTCTGAGCCTTAAAGGACGTCTACTACTTGGTATATAGGAAATTTAAAGCTGTGTTAAAGTGGATCTTGAATAAGACCCTTAGGCTTCCACATAGCTAGTATCTTTCCTTGTCTCAGGATGGGGGGATCCTTTTGGAGAGGGACAGCAGACAGCTCTGTACTTTAGCATCACATAGAAATGGTTTCCAAGGAAGTTATTAACTTTAAAACAGTTAGGCAGGGACTGGACTTTCAGAGGGAAAATCAGAAATGGTGGGTCTCTCACAGCCTGTTCCCTCACTGGCCCACATCCTTCTGTGCACATCTGCTGTCTTGGAAGATTGACACTGTTTTGGAAGTTTACAGAGGCAAGCCTTTTCATGGGAGCTCCTACACTCTTGAGGAGTCCCTAGAGTGGCTTGGGTTTGGACAATAGAATAAATTCACTCCTTTAAAGTCACATATATACTGACTTCAGCCAATCCAACTGACAAAGATAATTGCTCGAGTATCTTAGATGATGGAGCCACACAGGCACCACTCAGCTCAAGGGAATGGGGAAATTCAGTTCTGACATTAAGGAAACTTATGTAGTGAGAAACACATCAAAAGGTGGAAATAAGTTGGGTGTGGTGGTTCACACCTATAATCCCAGGTACTTGGGAGGCTGAGGCAGAGGGATTGCAAGTTTCAGGCCAGCCTGGACAACTTAGCAAGACCCTCTCTCGAAAAATATTTTTAAAGGGCTGGGAGTGTAGTTCAGTGGTAGCAACGGTAGATCACCGAGGTTCAATTCCCCAGTGTTCAAAAAGAAGACGTTAGAAACAAAAAGAAAGATGAAATGAAAAGGTCTCTCAGATTTGGACAATTAAGACATTAAAAAAGTCAGGTGAGGCATATATTGATACTGAGGACTTCTGGCTGAAGGATCAGAGTAAAAGAATTATTTGCTCAGATCCTAGGGTGATGCATTTGGCTTTATTATAACTTATGCCTTACACAGGAAAGGGCTAAGTGGCTGAAGAGGATGTAGGCTTAGTTCATCATCTGACACCAAATATTATTGTGGCAATTTTTTATATATATGGTTGATAGATAATAACAAACATAAAAATCTATAAAGATGATTATGTTCTTAGGTTAGGCTCCTGTAAGGATGAACATTTACTACAGGTAGAAAGGGAAAATTCCAAACAGAATCTTATTTTAGAATTTTAGTATTAATGGATGGCAGTTTCTTGGATCAAAGTCTTCATGTGATAGGAAATGCTGTGGGAAAATGACATCCAAACAGAGCCCAGCTATCCACTGCACTTCAGAACTTGCCCTGTTGTACAGAGTCTGTTTAGGGTTTGTGATGGCTGCTAGTTGTTCTGGCCAAACCCATAGGTAAGCACCCAACCCTGTTTCTGATTCCCTCTTTGAATCCGCTGGGAACTGTCTCTCTGTGGAATGTGCTTCTGAACTCTTCAGTGAAAGACCCACTTCCCTGGCTTTTACTTTCTCTCCCCTTCCCAGTGGGTAAAATGAGAACAGGGATGTTTATGGACTTACTCCACTGATATTGTTTGGTGTCTAATGGGCCTCCAGGCCACCAAGTCTCTGAGGTATTCACAGATAGGAAGATCAAGAAGAGAGGCAATCCCCCATGTAATTGATGGGATATGCTGCTCACACCAGGTCCCTGAGTCTCTTTTCTGGACAGGAAAATAGCACAATTCCTCTTCTGGAGCACATGTGGGCACAACTCACACCAATGTGCACAACTGCAGACACAGTTAAGGCTCAGAAGCATTCAGAGAATGTGGCTGAGGTTAGAACCAAGTGGGGACAGAGCCTTCTCCCCCCTGGTAGACTCGCTCAGAGGGTTTCCAGGTAGACAGAAGATCCAGGGAGAGGTTGCTCTGCTCTTGTTTGGATCTGACCTGGAGGTAGCCCAGCACATCCATAGTATCACCACAGACTTCCTGAAGTCGAGAAACCTTTTCATAAGGCAAGGACCAGCGCCAAGCCTGGGAAACGTTGAGGGCATTCCTGGCATTGGTGTGGAAGGCATGCTCTCCCATGCCCTTGCCCCGGGTGATGTTATACACCCAGTTCTGGAGATGGGGCAAGAATTTCAACCCCACATATTCATACATCCGGGAAGTCTGAGCCAGTGGAGCCCGGACTAGGTCTTCATAGCGGATGAGCAAGTAGCGCTTCTGCAGAGCTTTGGGCAAGGACTGGATGGCCTTGTATATGTCCATCTGGCTTTTGCAGATGATTTGCATCGTGTAGTATGGATAATCTTCCTTTTTGAGTTTCTGCCAATTCTGCCCCATCACAATATGACTGTCAATCATGAGTTCTGCTGTGGTGTGTTCTCGGGAACGGAACACAGCCCGCGGGTCCCGGACCAGGTGCACGATGTGCAGGTTGAGGGAAGGGTCTATCAGCAGCTGGTAGAGGGGCTGCAGGTTGAGGAAGCGCACCTCCTTGAGTACTACGTGGCTGTAGGAGCGGCAGGCCTTCTCCACCACGGTGAAGGGCTGTTTGTTGCACAGGATCTTGCAGTGAGCGTGGAAGGTGATCTCCTCCCTGGGGAAGAAGCTGCAGGCAGGTGGGGAACACAGTGCCCGGCTGTGCTCCCACTGGAAGAGACTGGACTGTTTGAGGGGACCAGGTTTCATGTAGGCATCAAAGACACTCATGTCACACAGAAAGACAGAACGCAGTAGATCCCGCACGGCCATGTGCAGACTCCAGGCAGTGCTCTCGGTGAAGGTCATCCACACGTGCCAGGCTGGCTCCATTAGGTAGAAGACATCTGGGTGCTGCCCAAAAACCTGCCCCACAAAAGAAGAGCCAGAGCGCCAGGAAGACAGGATCAGCACATGCACAGGCTTGGGCTCCTCCTTTCTAAACAGGGCGCTGTGGTTATACATGTGGAAGAAGAGAGCAAAGACAGCCACCTGGGAAACCAGGAACAGCAGGAGCCTCATTTTTTTGAGCAATATCATTGTGCTGAAGAGGATGACCCTTAAGGAACAAGCAGAAGGGATTGAGTCAGGCTGCTGTTTTGGTGCCTGCCTTCCATTCTCTTTCTAGTCAAAGCCACCTTCTCCCTGACACCTTCCAAGGAGCAATGTGGAAAGCTAGAACATTTGTGCAACCAGTTGCACAAATTCCTGTCCTGACCAGTTCCTGTTCCTTGCAGTTAGTGTGTCGATAAGTTTTATATATTTTGGGGTCTTTATTTCCTCCCCCTGGTCTTTCTTGGGTTACCAAGAATTCCTGAACTCAGCCAAGTTTAATCAACATAGGAGAATGACTGCAGCGGGTACCCTGGTGGCTGTATGCCTTCACATAGGCCACAGAGGCAAAGCTTAATCTCAGTCTAACCCAAGTCTTGGTTGGATACCTTGAGATTCTCCTGAAGCTTAAGGAGAGGAGCCACCCAGCAAGGAACACCCTGAGGACATTTCTCAACCGACACCCCCAACTTGAGGGAGATTGCCTCAAGCTCTTTTGTCATCTCCTCCCCCATTTTTCATTAAGCACAGGACTTTCCACTTCAGTTCCCTGAAAAATTGAGCTGCAGGTTATAAAACTGCTTGGCTTTAGAATTGTATCCTCAGCAGCAGAACCAAATGCCCATGATACCTGTCATCCGGTTCTCTCTGATTTCGTCTCATCTTATGGGATAAGGACATGGGGGAACTGATCCAATGATGACCTTGGGTCTGTATAGGTAATGAACAATCTATCTATTTCAGTTGCATTGTTGGTCTCCTTACCAGCTGACTCTGAAAGTGTGCCAAACAACCCTCAGCTGTAATAGTGATCCTTATGGCCATTTTGTCACTGTGCTGCTGCTTGTGGAATGCTTGGCCACTCAACACAACCTATTCAGGGCTGCTCAGTATGGTTGGGCAGATAGTGCATTGCACGACCCTAGGGCATGCCATCTCATCAAGGATTTAGAAACTTATTATAAAAAGTTCTGTAGGTGATCTTAAAGTATCTTGGTCCAACAAGGTAAATATTATAGGATAGTTTTCCAGTTGCTAGATATAAAATATTTAAAGAAAGGATTTCCATTTTGCACCAAGGTTCATATAGACTGGGAGCAATCTTGAACATATTCTTGTGACATTCAAGGGTTGCTTCATATGAAAAGACTGTGCCAGATTTTTTTCCTTTGGAGATTTTAACTCTTTCCCACATGACTATAGATCATTTGGGGCAACTTCTTGATATAAATAACAATTTAGAGATAAAATAGCTATTATATATAGTACAAATATTATTAGCAGCAAGTTGCTAATTAGCATAACCCTATATACCCAAGAAATTCTCCCTTTTAGTTTTTATATAGAAGAGAAACTATTTCTGGATAGTAACTGGAGTTAGATGTAGAGTTTACAATTTTCCTGGTGATGAGTTTTATCACCAAGTTTTTTAAAAAAAGTGTTTGATTTTGTTTTTGTTTTTTGGGGTACTAGGGATTGAACTCAAGGGTACTCGATCACTGAGCCAGTCTTTTGCAGTCTTTTACCATTTCAGATGCCTCAGTAATGACCTTTATGTTTACACACCATTGCACATGTGTGTACACAAGCTATTGTATTTTATTTAGAGACAGAGCCTCACTGAGTTTCTTAGTACCTTGCTAAATTGCTGAGGCTGGCTTTGAACTCACAATCCTCCTGCCTCAGCCCGAGCCACTGGGATTACAGGTGAGCACCACTGCATCCAGCTAAAAAAAGGTTTTTGATAGGTAATTCTCACTTGGTTCAAATTGTTTCAAAAAGTATCATTCTCATGGATATTCCATAGACTCAGAATTTAAAACAGGGCATTCCTAAGATTCTGCATGCAGAAGAAAAGATAGGGAGTGCTTACCAGTCCGCAGCCTGGTCCGTCACACCCAGTCTTTAACACACATGACAGAGGAGGGAAAATTTTTTTGACAAGGAGTTGTGTCTGTAAGGGAAGTCTGTAGTCACATTTTAGAAAGCCTCTAGACCTACTGTAAATAGGGATAATGATATATCTTTTAAAGGGTCACAGCTTTCCCCCCCCAAGGGAAAAAGAACAAGAATTTACTAGTTGCTGAACTGGTAACCTCTTCTCTATTTACTAACAGCTAGTATTTATATAGCTTGTAGGATATGGTGAAAAATCTACCTCCAAAAATCTGTCCCCCATCTGCCCATTTCTCAACTTGTCCCTAACATAGCAATTGGGTTTATTTTTTTATGTGTAATTTCATTTGCTTTATGCATTCCCCCAAAAGTTCAAATGTATATATTTTCTTATTTTTTTCCCTCTTTAAAACACAAAAAATATGGGGCTGGGATTGTGGCTCAGCGGTAGAGTGCTCGCCTATCAGGTATGAGGCCCTGGATTCGATCTACAGCACCACATATAAATAAATAAAATAAAAGTATTGTGTCCAACTACAACTAAAAAATAAATATAAAAATTGGTTAAAAAACACAAAAAATAGTAAGTTATTCCCACTGTGATGCACTTTTTTTTTTTTAACTTGTGAACATGTCTTGTGGGAAGCTTTCCCTGGTAGTATATAAGGCATTTCCTCATTCTTTTTTACTACACAGATTCTATTATATGGATATACAATGACTTATTTAACTCATTTTCTTATTGATGGGTTTTGGCTTGCTTTGCAGTCTTTTACATTTCAGTGCCTCAGTAATGACCTTTATGTTCACACACCATTGCACACGTGTGTACCCTGAAGTGGAATTGGCAAGTCAAAGAGTATGTGCATGCTAAGTTTTGGTGTCTATTGCCCAGGCAGCCTTCATACTGCTCGTAAACCATTCTCTATGTCCAGAGCTCCAGAGATATTTGAGAATGGCTTTTAGAGGAGGAAGATGTGACTCTTAGAATTTATAGCTTGTTTCCTGAAGAGGTAGAGCTTACTTTGCCAGCTCATGGGCTTCCCTTGGAAATCCCCTGGACCTTCTGGGAAATGGGTAATGATCCATGCCAGGCCTTGTGTGGCCGTGGCAGAAAATCCCCTTTTCTTCCATCCATCACAGCAGTGCTCTTCCTCAGGATGTGCCAGAAGGATCCAGGGAGGATCTTCTTTCTTTTGTGGCCAAAACAAAAACAAAACTAGACAAATCCCCCTCCTAAAATAACCATGTTGCTCTCTGCCTGGGAAATGCCAATGGATGGTAATTCCTGCCTTGTAGACTTGGCCCTGTGGATTAGAAGAAGGCCAACTAAGTAGGCTCCTAGTTCTTAAACTTGAGTTCAAGAGGAAATGATTAGAAACTAGAATGTTACTGATAATGGTCAAAGGATGCCCTCTCCATCCTCCACCCAAGACAGATGCAACTTGAACAAAGAGCTTCTGCTTAGGGTAACATGAGCAAGAGAAACAGTTTAGAACAAAGAAAGGAAACCATGGAGCAAAAGAGAGAGGAACCTAAGGAGAGAAGAACTTGACATGTATGCAATTATAAGGAGACTGTTGGTAGAATTTTATACACAGGGCCTATAATGACTTTAGGAAAAAAGCTGATATTTCTTGGCAATTAGGAGAGCAGACACCTTTCAAAGTAAGTCCTCCCTCCCTCCATCCCAGCTGTAGGCTAATTTTGTCCTGTGGGGCTCAATGGAAATGGCCTTGTGCCTTCTTTGCCTGCCAGCTCTGCTCCTGGCCCCAAGCCCATTCCCTCTGCAAGCTGGAGCTTGACCTTCTAACTCTGTTAGAAGTTGTCCATAGTTCTCAAGAATTCCTACAGAAATCCTCTAACTTCTTTCTTTGATTTTACTCTCCATGAGCACTTTCCCTGGCCAGAAAGAACATGCTTTTGTGAAGTGAGTCCCACTTTGGACAACACATGGTGGGGCTGCCCAGGCCACCAGGAAACACTCTAGGGTATTCTGGCAAAGCTCATCTGCAGAGACTGTAATCAGCAGTGGAGGTGGATGCTTTGGAGCCCTGGCAGAGGTGGGTCACCAGTGTGCTTAGGGGGGCTCAGTGGAGAAAAGGAGACTCTTCAGTTGATCCTTGAATTGCACTCTCATTGCCAGAATTCCCAGCTTGCTCATCTCAAGCAGGGCCTTGGACAGTACCCTTCCTCTTCTATCTCTCAGCTCTCTCCCATCATCCACTGCTGAGCTAAATTATATTTCTAAAACACAAGTGTATCACTCCCTGCTGAAAAATCCTCAATAACTTTTCAACATATATAGGGCTAAATCAAAATCCCCAAATCTCTCACTCTGGGTCCTTCATGGCCTGATCTTTGATTTCCTGCCACTCCCCTTCTTTTTGGTACCTTAGAATCCAGACTCAACTTTAAATTCTTCCAAAACTTCCCTATTATTTAGGAGTCCCGAGACCTTCAACTACAACTCTTCCAGAGTCAGCCGACCTTCTTCCTTTAAGAAAGTTTTTCCTCCTCTTTCCAAATGTCCCTCTAGCATCCATCCCACTCTAGAGGAATTAGCTGTATGTGAATGTCTCTTCCCACTGAACTGCAATACTTTAAGGGAACGTCTGTCTGGTTTTTCTTACAGGTCCACAACAATTTGGCGAGTGATGAGGATTCCTTAAACACTTTTCAAATGAATGAAGAAGTAAGTAGTAAGAAATCAGTAAGTAGTTGAGTGTGGGAGGAGATATCATCAGTGTTAGAAGCAAATAACCCAACAAGCTCCTTCTCGAAACTGAAACTTATCATTTTATAGAATGCATACAGAAATCTTTAGTATCAATGACTACATTGAGTACTAAAGCACATAACCAGTACTTTCTCAGGTGTGGTATTAATAAAATCAGGTGCATAGTTTTGATATGAGATGGCACACTAAAAATATTTTCCTACACTGATCCTGTAGTAGTTAAAACTAAGAGGAAAAACAACATTAAATTATTTTTAGAAATTTTTATTAAAACGAAATAAAAGCCCCATTCAGGTGACAGGCTGCCTTGTTCTAATCAGTTCAGTTACTAGGTAGACAAGGCAAAACAAAC